CTCCTTCTGCGTCGACTCCACCTTTCTTGATTCCAGTCATTAAATGTCAGTGCAATTAATTTATGAAGGAAACAGGATAACAAGTCAGAACATAGCTTTAAAAGATGAGGATTTTGATTGTGGGGATTTCTGAGGAGGTTTGAGTCCTACATAAATGGTGTATTAACCTTTTCTTCCTTGAGGCTTCTAGCATGCTTTCCCTATGCTCCATATAAGTGCAGGACCTTCGAACAGTGAAGCACATTTTTACCCTGGGAGCTGTCTCGGGCTTTGTACTCCAGCTCTAAGAGGGCACAGTGTGCAAAGCACCGAGGCAGACAGGCCAGCTGGGAGTTGGCGGGGTCTGGGCAATCTGTGGATGCAGGGAGATAGGGCCCTACAGGCTCTCTCCCCCTCCCCCCCCACAGCGTTTCTGACCTTTCCATGGGGGGTGATGCCCATGAAACAGAGTGCGAGCTCTCACGTTTTGCAAAGTCATGCTTGCAAACCAGCCACTGAGCCTGTCAGGCCAACATTTTTTTATCGCTTCAGAGACGATCCAATGGAAAATTCTGTTACAGAGGTCACCGGACATCATCAGCAAAAGTATATAAAGGCCTAATGGCTAAAAGAGAGGACTCTGGAGCCTGCCGCCTGAATTCCAATTCACCAGCTTCACCTTCCTCCTTGCCAGCTGACTTCCAGTTGGTTACTTAATGCCCTGTGCCTCAGTGTCCTCATCTGTAAAACGGGGATTCCAACAGTACCTGCCTCATCAGGTGGCTGTGAAGCAATAAGCATACAGCACAATCCTGTGGCAGGTGGCAGTGATGGTGGCGATCTCAGGGGATGCCTGAGGAGGAGGAGGAGGAGGAGGAGGGAATGGCTTGCACAAGGGCCTCCCTGACTCAGTGAGACACATTTGACAGAAATCCATTTCCACCAAGAGTCCGAGTTGCTTCTTATTTGTTTTTAACTAAAGATGCTGTTGTTAATGTTTACTTCATTTGATCTTAGCCAGTTCTTGGCAGGCACCACACTGAGGCAACCACTTTTAAAAGTGCTAAATAAAACCACTGCCTAATGACAGGAAGGCCTCGCTCTGTGCGTGCTCCACCCACATTTTGATGGAAGTGCCAGAAGGCCACGGCCAGCCCCCTGTGGGAGCCTGCACGGACAGCGATGAGTCAGCCCAGCCGGGCCCCAGATGCAGGACACAGACAGGGGTGGCGGCCCATGTGGCTCTTGCAGAACCGGGCCTGGCACCCAGCAAAGACCCTGAGCCCTCTGATGTGTGCTTCCAATACGCAGGCATCATTTGATCCCAAGAACTGGCTTCCTGCTTAGCAGCCAGATTCCTTTCTGTGGCTGAGCGCACAGGGGGGCAGGGTGTTATAGGGGGTGGGGGGCTCTGAAATGTAACCCACAACACAGGTTTTAAAACAGGAGCCAGTGTCCTGATGGTTCTCTCGGATCCCAGGTCACATCTCACGCGTCAGGTGTAGTGAGAGTTCTTTAGAGCTGTGTGGGGTGCAGTCCCTGCAGGAGAGCCGAGGAGGGGCATGTGGGGAGGAGCTACCTGGAGGTGAGGGGCATGGGCCAGAGGGCAGCTGTGAGGGCAGGGTCGCCCTCCAGCCATTCACCAGGATCTCAGGGTGACACCCAGGCACCCATTTGCTTTTGAAACGTTTTTGCATGGAGTCTTAACCACCTGTTCAGCCCAGTGCTCCAGGCACTTCCTACCCATTGACCCGTGTAGACAGAACACAGTAGAAACTTGTGTGCCCTCCTGGTGCTGTCACACCTCTGATCTCGCCCGTAACCACCTTCAGAGGAGAAGCCAGCTTTTGTATGGTAACTGTGAACCGGCCCCGGGCCATTCACCCAGACATACACCCGTTTTTGCGCAGCCTCAGGCCTCACTTCAGTGGCATTTGCTGAAATGGGCCAACTGCCCTTGCCGACCAATCAACACACCCCGGTCCAAGTCTCGGGCCTGTCTGAAGTGTTAACCAGGTGAAGACAAGCCCCGTGCAAGGTCTAATAAGAATATATGCTGCTCTTCACCACACGCACCAGACGGGAGCCTTCTTCAAAATTTGCAAGTGAAGAAGAAATGAAGCCAGAAAAGCCTGGGACCATGTACAGTTTCCAGGCACAGCTGGGCCCCAGGAGACATGGTGAGGAGACCCCTTCGTGCCATGGCCTCTCGTCTGGCCCACGCATCTAGAGAAGCATCTGGTAGGGCTGGATGGGGACCAGGCATGTATGCACATGTGCCAACTGCTGTCGCTCAAGGTTTCACAAAAGCTTGACACAGGGACTGGAGTCATGGAGCCAAGACTGGGAGAGGTGTGGGTGAGCAGGAGGAGAAGGGGGAGCTGCCCATGCACCTGCCAGCAGGGCTGCTAAGGGACCATGGAGGAGTCTGAAAGGGTCTGGAGGGCCAATCAAGCAGGCTCCAGGTCCCCATACCACCCTCTAGAAGCAGGGAGGGGCTGGGAGTCATAGTCCTAAGAAGATGGGCCTGGTAGCTCCACACAGAGGCCAGGGGCTCAGACCTCCTGGGCTTAAGTCACAGCCCCCACTTACTAGCTCCGTGACTTGAGCAAGATGCTTAATATCTGAGCGTCGATGTCCTCACCTGTCAAGGGGGGTAGATATAGCCTCCACCCCAGGGCCGATCTGAGAACGGAACTGCTGATAGATGTAAAATGCTCAGCGTGACGTCTGGCGTGCAGCAAGCACCCGACAGATGTTGGCTATGAGATTGGCAGCTGAGGAACAGTGGCAGGCCGATGACAGCAGCACGCGCGGCTGAGCGTCTCGCAGCCCGTGCCCTCGCGGTTAACCTTCGCCACCGCAGGCCGGCGGGGGGCATTCATCATTCCCTGCTTGACCCAGGGGGAAACGGAGGCTCGGAGACGTCACTGAACCTCCACGTCACTGAGCTTTACCAAGTGCTCACCACGTGCCGTGTCTTAACTCATTTACTCCCCACAACAGCCACAGGAAGTAGTTCAGATGGAAAACAGGCACAGAGAGGTTAAGTAACTTGTTCGAAGGTCGCACAGCCAGTAAGAGGCAGACTGGAGGTTTTTTTTTAATTTTTTTTTTTTTTTTGGAGAGGTGGGAGGGACAGAGAGAGAGGGAGGGAGAGAATCCTGAGCAGGCTCCGTGCCCAGTGCAGAGCCTGACATGGGGCTCAACCTCACAACCGTGACCTGAGCCCAAATCGAGAGTCGGACATTTAACCCATTGAGCCACCCAGGCACCCACAGACCATAGATTTGAACCCAGGTTGATCCAGCTTCAAAAGCCCTGCTCCTTCAACTCATGTCGGCCTGCCAAGCTGTGAGGCTAATGTCTACTGCAAAAATCTCCATCAGAACCCAAAGCAAGAAGAAACAGCTGTTCTAAGAGGGCCCGTGAGAACCTGCAGGGTGAGTGTGGGGTGCTGGGGGGAGCAGGCCCCACGGGACCCCGGGTGCCACAGGTCAGTGTGTCAACAGCGTGCCAAGTGGCCATCTCTGTGGCCTGTATGAGACCACATTTGCGGGCAAAACTCCAGGGCTACCAGAGTCCCACGGCCCTTCGGGAGAGGCTGCTCAGTGTGCAGAGGGCTGAGCCTGTGGTCTCCAGCCGCCTGCTTCCAGCAGAACCACCCGTGATCTCCCAAGTGGATGACAGGCTGCGGACAGATGGGCTCTGGCTGGGGCTGCCTCTGACCTCAACGTCACCCAGCACACCCTCCCCACCTGTGACAGCACCTCAGCCCTCAGGACCACCCGGAGGAGCAGGCCCACAGGGAAGAAACATCTGAGGACAGAGCCATTCTCTGAGTCATCACCTTCGGTAGAGAGGGAGGGCAGGCAAAACCCACGCCGGGAGCGGAAGGACTGACCGGCTTCTCCCGACCTCCCAAGGTCATCTAAGCAGGGAGCAAAGGGTGCACCAGGGCACCAGGGCCTCACTGGCTTGGATTTCCCCTATGCTGAACTTGGACCTTTGTCCTTCTGCAGCTGCTTCAGTTGCCAACTAGACCTTGGAGATCTGCTGGTTGAGGAAGGATTAAGCTCTTGGTCTAGAAAACTGAACCCCCACCCTGTCCAAGGCCCTCCTCTCACTGGGGCAAGTGGAAAGCCTCACCCTCTGCTCCTGGTGTCGAGCCCCCTCTCTGGTGTGTGCTCCCCCTGAGGACGCAGGCCTGTGCTGGCTTTCAAGCTAAGTTTCTGCAACAGTCAGGGGCACCTGGGTGGCTCAGTGGATGAGCATCTGCCTATGGCTCAGGTTGTGATCCCGAGATCCTGGGATCCAGTCCTGCATCGGGCTCCCTGCATGGAGCCTGCTTCTCCCTCTGCCTGTGTCTCTGCCTCTCTCTTCCTCTCTCTCTCTCTCATGAAAAAAAAGTTTCTGCAACAGATCTACACGGGTCCAGCCTCCCAGACTCCTGGAAGCTTTCACAGAGACAAAGGGGCCTCCAGCTGTTTAAAGCTGCACCTGTTTGAGGACACATCAAGGGGAGCCCTTCCCTAATCCCCTCCCCACCAAGACTTAAGGTCTAGTTCTTATGTCAGAATCCAGGACAATTGGAATCAGCTTCAGCTCATTCTTCCCAGGGATGTAGGACAGGGCAGTTCTTGCGTCACAGAGCATCTGGGACCATCCTGCTCTGCATTGATCCCTCTACTTAGCACCGTGTCTGGCACAGAGCAGGGGCTCAGGAAACCTTTACTACCTGACTGCATGATGTTAGGGGGTCAGAAAACTCTCTTTAGTTTGAAAAGCTCCAGATGCAAGCACCCCTGTCCTCAAACCCAATTTTATGAAGCCAGAGTGGCCAAGCACATCTGTGAGTAACACTGGTAAACCCCACATGATGATTTTGAAATAACTGGTAAACCCCCGTGTGGACACTGCGGTTTAATGAGGAGCTGCTGTTGACCTTATCATCATGTCAAAGAGAAGGCAACCAGCTGTTCCCAGGGCGAGGGGAAAGAAGCACACACCAGGAAGCAGAGTATGAAGAAGGGTTTTAATAGCTCAAACTCAAAGTCACTGTGCTCCCAGTTCTGAAGAGTTTCCTAAAAGAGGCGACTCTGGCCCTTCTGGAAGCCAGCATTCACCCAGCGGTGGTCTCTGGCGTCGACCTCCTCTGGGTGCTGACTAGGAGGAAAGCGGAAACGTGCCCAGGACCATCCTGGCTCCCACGGGACTTTCCTCCATCTACGCGTTACATCAACTGCCTTAGTCGGACTAAGATGATGACTCGGTAAAAGGAAGAGACAAATGTTGACTGTCTAAGCAGGAACAGTCCAAGCTGGCAAGGAAAAGCACACTGAGTACATAGGATACAGAAGGGCGAGCTTCTGCCTGCAGATCTACGACATTACATTTGTTTCGCCTGCAAACTATCAAGAAGGATTCTGTTGGCCAGGTGTTTCTGCTGGACAAACAACATGGTCCAAAGTCCTGGGGGCGCCGTGCCACCCGCCCAGAGTCATCATGCATCGTCCACTGGAGAGTCTTTGCAGGAAACATGAAATCCAGCTCATGCCTCTCCCTACGGGTCGATTTCTTCGGGAATCACTGTGATCATAATGTCTTCATTGCCCCTGCGGACAACCATGTTCAGGGTGTTCTCCTTTTTAATGACATCGCTGACGTCACTGGCAGAGACCACGGACTGTCCGTTGATGCTGATTATGACATCATTTTCCTTGAGCCCTCCACTGCAACACAAAGGGAGACACAAGTGTACTGCTTCCTTTCCTCCCAGTCTCACTGCCATGGAAGATGCTCGACTCGATATGCACAGAGGCACAGCCTAGCACCCAGAAGCCCCAAGCCAATCAGGTGCGGTGGTGGTTACGGCCTAACATACCAATGGATTGTGCTATTTCCTTTTGAGAGTTTTAGGCCAAGTCATCAATCATGCCCGGTGTAGAGAGGCTTCCCTGCACTTGTATGATCGGATGACAGACTGACCCCGAAGGAGTCAAGGGTGTGCCATTTACCACTTACCACATATGACTGTGGCCAACTTGCTTGTAATGGGTGTCACAACTCAGAAGGCAGCTCCCAGAGAAGCAGGTACAATGGCTCTATTCTGAGGCCTTCCTTTGTGTTATTATTGCTATAATTTTCGCTCTTATGTAGGACAGTACCAAATAAGCTATTACGGTCCTTAGTGGTCTAGCAGAGCTTCAGCAAACTTTTTCCCTAAAGGGCCAGATAGGAAATATTTTGGGCTTTGTGGGCCATATGGCGTCCATCACAACTCTACTGTTATAGCCCTAAAGCCACTACGGGCTGTGTGCAACTACCAAGATGGCCCAGGTTACTGGCTGTGCTCCAATAAACTTCCTTTAGGGACACTGAAATGTCAATTTTGTATCACTTTTTAAGTATCATAAACAATTACTCTTATTTAAAATTTGTTTCTGAGCTCCTTTTGTGTGTGTGTTACCTCGATGTTACCTGGGCTATTTTCTGGAGGTGTAGACAGGTATGGCCTGGCCAATAACTGAGAGAATTAGAGAAGGCTTCTTTGGGAGATGTGTCCTCCTAGAAGCCTAGGATAGGACCACTGTCCAAGATCTCAGGGGCATTGCTCCTTAAACCCTCTTTCAAAAAAAAAAAAAAAAAAAACAAAAACCCTCTTTCCCCAGGCAGGCCTGCCCAGGAGACTCATGAAGAGTTCGACTATTACTCTTTCCGCACAGTAATGGCCCCTCATGAAGTGAGGACTTCTGAAGACGGGAAGCACCCTTTTGCTGTTGAGTCCTGAGCTGAGCCAGGTCAGAAGGCCTGGCTGGTGGGACTGACCAAGGATCCTCACAACCACCTGAGCCGGTAGGAAAAGAACACAGCCTCCTGCCACTACCCCCAGCCCAGAAGCCCCAAGGACATCAGGCAAAGGGAAAATCATTCTAACTCACGCTTCTGCTGGGGTATCAGGAATGACTTCGATGATATATGCTCCCGAAAGCACATCTGGGAAGTCTCGATGGTGGTCCTTTAGCTCTTTGGCTTTGCTGCGCAGGAGGAAAAGAATCTGCGTTAACACTAAATACAAAGCCCCCGCTCGGCTGAGACTTGGCTCTCACTCGGCTTCTCCTCCTGTCCCTGATTCTAATACAAAATGCCTCTAGGAGCTCTGATGCTGCCTTAATTTGCCTGTCTACTAGAGTCAAAGATTTACCTGCTAGCAGGAAGGGCAGTGCTTCATCATCATCATTATTAATTTTACTAATTATTTAATACTAGCTACCATAGCCTACGAAGTGAGTACAGGCCAGCCTCTGGTTTGGAGACCCGGCTCTGCCACTTTCTGTGTTCCCCCCAGGTAGTTGCTTAACCTCTCTACACCTCAGATTGCTCACCTACAAAACAGGCCTAATGGCAACACTATGATGTGGGGTCGTTTGAGGACTAGATGAGATGGTCTGGAGGCGGGACCTGGCCCAGTGCCTGGTGCAGAGCAAGCACGTGATAAATAGTGGCTAGTGTCACTGTGCAAAGCCTTGACACACATTCACTCACTCGGTCCTCACCGCACACCAAAATGCCTACAATGTTATCCTTGTCCTAGAGAGGAGGAAACTGAGGCACAGAGGTCAAAGGTCAAGTTGTTCCCAAGGCCCTAAGCCAGGAAGTAGCAGCTCTGGGACGAGAACTCAGGAAGCCCGATGCCAGGGTCAATATGCCTTCCCCACACCTCTGTCTCCACGGTTCCAAGACAAGTAACTGATTCACATTTTAGTCCTGGCAACTCAGCCCATATTCCGGAGTGCCCAAAATGGCACCGCCACGCATAATGCGCATCGGAGCTATAGTAACATATTCACAATTAATTAAAAGTAAATTAGTGATGACAATTAATGTATTGATGTCTATGTTACTATGTTCTGCTCTTTGCTGTCTTTACCGACAAGAGTTTCAACCGTGCCCTTAGTTCCCAGGGCTCATGTGATTATACCAGACATTTCCATCAAGGCTAAAACCCCGCTATGCTATGCGCCTGGCAGCCACGTGCCGCACCTTCCGCCAGCTTGGGAAAACAAGCCATCAGTCATCTGGGCCTGACCCCGCATTCCGGCAGCCCCAGCCCATGCGCGGCAGAGCTCAGGAATGGAGGGGTGCTCCGGGCTGAGGGAGGTGCTCGGGGCACTCCCGGAATGTGGGTTTCAACAGAACAAGTGGTGAGAGGAAGGTATGAGGGAGAGTGACCAACACGCCCGACCGTTCAGGGCTGCCTCCAGAGGAGGAAGGAAGGACCTGCTCCAAACACACACACACACACACACACACACGCACCACAATGAAGGGTAAAACCAGAGGCCTAGGTTCATGGCCTCTCATCTCTTTCCTGATGTTTCTCAATTTTAACCAAAAACTGAGACGCTTTAGGGAGCATGAGGTTCCTCTCTCACGGTGCCAGCTTCTGAAGTTCAGGTGTATTTAAACCTAAGACAGACACAGACATCCTGCTTACCCACCTGGAAGTAAGTGACATCATCCGGATGCCAATATACTTCTTTTTGGTGATGGCCTTGCCTGGTGTGACAGCAAAAAGACAAGAGGTCAGCCCCAATGGCAGTTGTACCGGGGACACCAGGAGCTATGAGGGTCGATCCCCGAGTCTGCAGTACAAAGTCAGGGCCATCAAGCTACACTGAGGCTGTTCAGTGTGCCCCCCTCCCCACCACCCACCACGGGACCTGGGAAAGTCCTATCATTTCAGTTAACGCCCCAAAACCTAGGAGTGATACTTGATGCCTCTTTGCCTTATCCTGACATCTGACGAGGGTTCTATTCCTCCTATAAATCCAGAATATGACCTCTTCATCCCACCTACTGGTGACTGGGAGAGCCCCTCACCCGGTCCTACAATTCCACCCAGCACCTCCAGCAGAGTCTCCACCCAACCATGAGAGAGACTTCTCAAAGACACCCACCAAATCATGGACTGTTCGCTGTCCCACTTCTGGGCATATGACCCAAGGCCTTCACCATGGCCACTGTGACCCAGGCTGACCTCTTTCCACATCCACCTTTGCGACCCTGCATGTTTATGGCACTCCAGCGACATGACCCACTTGCTACACTCTGCCCCCCACAGAGGACTTGAATCTGCTATCCTTGGAATGCCACCCCCTGGATTCCACCACTCCCCAGCTCACCACCCTCCTTCATTTTCGGGGAAGCATCATCGGTATCTGAAATCTTCCCTGTTCGTCTACCGCCATCCTTCCTCCTCCCCCAGGCAGAAAGCAAATATCACACATGCAGGGGATGCTGCGGAGCCATGGAACCCCCAGCCTCACCCCAAGCAGATGAGTCAATAAACATTTGTGAACTGGATGATCTCCCTGAATCTCAGTTTTCTCATCTGTAAAATGGGACTAATACTTCCCACCTGATAGGGCAGAGGAACTCAGTGTAGTAAAATGATGTATAGAAATCACCTACGATCAATCGTGCCTGGAACATGTTAGACTAAACCATATGAAACACTCATGGCCAAGGGTCAAACATCCGTGACCTAATACTAGGGGCCTAACAATGTGTATCCCACCACTCTTCTCGATCCAAAAGGCATGGCTGGTGTTCAGGTGTGTGGTCTTCCCCGCCTGAACCTCCCAGGGCTGTGAGGGCTATGCTTTCACCTTTGGCCTGTCGGTCATGGGACTCGGTGAGGAACTTCTTAATCTTATCAGATGGGATTGCAAAGGAGATTCCAGCTGTCACCTTCAGAGTGTTAATCCCAATCACCTCGCCGTCCTGAAAAGCAAGATAGAAACAGCCTACTGAATCTGTGAAGATTCCCCAGAAGATGCGCACCAAAGGCGAACAGATCATTTGTACAAAGGAAGACTTTGAGCTACGGAATGAGCAGGGTGGGAGAGCAGAAGGGAGTGGGGGGGTCCCAAGGCCGCAGTGGGGATGCATCACTTGGGCAGCCAGAGCCACGCTTAGCAACAGGGTGGGGGGAATCGGATGCACATCAGGCTCCGTCCTCGGGGACCACCATGATGTAAAAACAGCCTTAGGCAGTTCGTTTCAAGGTGTCCCTTTGCTCCTTTCACAGGGAACATGTGTCAGAGTTCTTCAGGTGGCTGTCCACACCCTCTTGCATCTTCCATTTCCAACGACCTAAAGATTCCTCTACCGATACCAGGGAGGACAAGCTTAGCGCTTAGGGCTCCCGGGAAAATGCGGTGCTATCTGAGCAGCCGTGGCTGCTGCAGGGGCTGCGGGGTACAGCCCCCCCCCCCACTTCCTCCGCGTGTCACAGATCGCCCTTAAATCACAAGGGAGGTCAGTCTGCAGCATGTGCTTCGGTTCAAGACAGACTCAGTTTAGCGAACGTTACTCCTGGAGTAACAGGCTCCTATCACGCCACTCGACCATCATTCTAACACCATTGTTCAGTGGTCTGTTCAGGTCAGGCTAAGAAGGGAACACCGCTCGGAGAGTATTGATCTCTCCTTGTACGCTCCCCACAGCACTGAGGATGCGGTCCCTGACACCGAGAACCTTCCAGGAGGGTTCTGGGCCCTGCTAAAGGTGGCCTCAACTTCACTGAGGGAAAGGAAAACAGGGCTGGGGGACCCCTGAGCTGTGTGGGCCTCACTCCGACAGATCCTAAGGCTTCCCTTTTCACGTGTGCATATTTAAATATAGACGTAAGGGACATCTCTGTGAGCAGGGGCGACTCCTCATTCCAGCCAGGTCCGAAGGGACGGCTCCCAGCCAAGACAAAGACTGCAGACAAGCCAAGCCAGCTCCTGCAGCGGCCTGGAGACCTCATTTGAAGGCTGTGCCTTTCTGTGACAGACCAGAATTGCTGATGCCTTCAAAATAAAGGCCTGCTCTTTTGGCTAGTCCTGGACTGGACCTGAATTCCACTGCATTTGCTCGAAACTTTGAAACACAAGCATGGCTGCTGGTGTAACATTTCCAACCCCGACTCCAGCATGCCTTACTCTTTCCAGAAAAGATAAGAAGGGTAATTTGCAAGGATACAGTACATTCACAGATTTTACTTTAAAAGAATTAGATAATGTGCTTTGGCAAGTTCATGTCTGAAAAGCAAGCAAAAAAAAAAAAAAAAGGGCCTTACCAGGTTGACTAACGGGCCTCCTGAGTTTCCATACTGAAATTAAGCAAAAATTAAAAGATTATATGAGTTTATGTCTTTACATGCCCCCATGTGCTTCCGTGCCTGGCATGCTCCTGAGTGCAGGTTCTTTGCTTGGATTTGTTCAACCTAATATTTTGCTGGGAAAAAGGACCTTAAAATTTTTCAGAAAGTTTTAGATGTGTCATAAATGGGATTTTTTTTTTTTTTTTGGCTCCAAAGCCCAGAGGCCAACTATGACCTCCCTACAACACCCAATACTACTTCCTTCTCTTGACAACAGACTGGCTGCCAACTGGCTCCAGTATTTCGAATCTGCACCGCCCCCCACCTGTGTGATCCCTGCTCCGCTGCTGGGGTTGGAAATCCACATGATTTGTTCTTTTTCCATTACTTCATGCAAATCCCAACAAGAAAGTTTGGGAGTAAAACTTATTAGAGGCAGAAAATGCATAAAACATACTCCTTCTCATTTATTAGACAGATGTGGGGGGGTGGACATTGCTTTTTAGAAATGTCAATCCTGTATGAATATAGCTGAAGGAGAAAAAAATGTGATGTCTACTGAACAGTATGGGCCTAACGCTCAGACTATGCCCCAAGGCAGAGTGAATACCTCGGGGGGGGGGTGACAGTGCTTGCACCAGGGTGAGCATCCCTTCTGCACCAAGCCTCAAGAGCAGCTGCCCTGAGGGCCCTGGAGGCAGAGAAGCCACTCTGCTGCCCCATGGGAGCCCCTCTGGGCCGCAGACCTTGGCATCGCTGGAGTCCCTTCCCAGGGGTCTCTGGGGACTGCCAAGGCTGAGGCCCACCCGTCGGCCTCCTCTGCTCCAGCGGTTCCCAGGGATCTCCTCGGCCGGCACCCTCAGGGTCCTGACCCCACCCCTGGTTCCTAAGCCCGGCCCGACCCCGAGGGGCTCACGTTGATGATGGCGTCCGTCTGGATGTAGTCCATGTCCGAGTTCCGGAGCCCCAGCTCTTTGCCACCGCGCTGGGTGGTGCTGACGATCCCGGTGGTGACGGTGTTTTGAAGGGAAAACGGGCTTCCGATGGCGACCACAAACTCCCCGGGCCTCAGCTCTGAGGAGCGGCCAAGCAGCAGGACAGGCAACCTCCCCTGCAAGCACAGGTTGGCACTGCTGCAGTGGGCTAGCCCAACGGACGGACGCACAGACGCCGGGGAGTGCCACGCCCCGACGGGCCTTGTGGGAAAGCGAGGTTCAGGCCCCTCGTCGCCCCTCAGGACGAGGCCACACGGCCCCTCCCACCCACCGTCAGCAGCATGCAGTGAGCTGTCTCGGGGCAGGGACCACTGAGGCCGCCGCCAAGGAAAACATGGCAGGTCACGGGAGGCCATCGTGGGGTCGCACGTCTTGAAGCTGTCAGCCTGGTCTTATTGTAGCCTGGAGACCAGGAGACAACGTCTGGATGTGAGGCAAGGCTGCCCAAGGCCGTCTTAGAGAGCCAAGGCCCGTGGAAGGATCCTGAGCCCACATACCCCTGGGGCCAAAGGGAAGGCCGGATCCATCCGGGCTGAGGGCTGGTGTCTCCATGCTGAGTGCAGGATAGGAAGGGGACTGGGGTGGCAAGGCAACCAGCACCCCAGAACCAAGACCTAAGAAATAGGCTGTCTCCTTGCCTGAAAAGACCATCCATCATCCACCTCTGCCCCCCGGCCCAGGTGAACTAAGCCAACAAGCCCAATCCCTGATGTCCTTTGAGGGCCAGAGTCAGAAGCTCCAAGCAACTCTTCAAACTAAAACGGGACAGAGCGAGCTGGAGTGGCCAGGGCTGAGGAGCGCTGGGCTTCCATCAGGAAGGCCTCAGGCCCTCCTCCCCCTCCCTTCCTTCCTGAGTGAAGCAAACCTCCTGAGTTCCTCCCGCCTTTCTTCCCCAACAGGACGAGCAGCTGCCCCAAACAAGCCGGACCAGGCCCAGGAAGCCGATCCCCCCGCCCCAGCCTCATGGAAGTTGTACTTCCAGCATCCTCCTGTTTGTCCACCTCAAAAAAGTAAGAAAGAGGTGGGGGCTGAAGGGGGGCCAGGAGGGTGGGGTGAGTAGAAACCAGCGGTTACTTTAGCATCTGCTCTGACGCGGATGGAGCAGACACCAGTGGATGAAGTGAGGGGGGGTGACCACTGGGCCCATTTAACAGACGGAGAAACTATGGTTCCAAGAGAGTAGGTGACTTGAGACAGAGCCGAGACTCACACCCGGGACCATGACCCTGACCCCAGATTCTGTCATCAGCTACACGCACTGTGCCACAAAGGTCCCTCCCCACCCCAAATAAGGAGATGCTGCACAAGAAAGTTCATGGAGGAATGAATGTTGAAGAGGGCTCTAAGGCCGACTTTGAGAAGGAATGCCCCTCAGAGCACAGAAGTGAGAGGCCCAGTAGAGACCTGATTAGATCCTGGTCCCAGTTTACAACCCCCCGGGTCCTCAGTGTTCTCATCTGGGAAATGGGAGTAACATGCACACCTCTCTCATGGGTCAGCAGTGAGAATGAGGTGACAGCTGTTGAGTATCGCCCGGCTCGTGTGAAACATCATGTTAGTGGGACATGTAGGCATCACCCAAGTGGTGGTTATTGTTACTGGCACTGGGGTTGGTGCAGACCCAGTGGGGGAACCCCCACCAACTAAACTCCCACAAGCTAATCTGTGTCACCCAGCCTCCCACCCAGGAAAAGGCTGGTGGCACAGGTCAACCCTAACAGTGACCCTTGGGGTCACCTGAGGCCAGAGCGCACGGTGCTGCTCTGGAAGGGGCGGCTCCACACCCCGAGCTCCTCGGTGTCTAGTGGCCCGCCAGCGAGCTCAGCTCGGCCTGTTTACCCTGGGCCTGTGCCAGCCACCCCTGCCAGGAATGACTTCATCCACTGGGTGGGCGAGCGGGGCCGGTGATGTGCACTCGGCCACTCTAGGGAGGCCTGCTGGGGACACTGGCGCTCCTTTGGGCTGGGCAATGGGGCACGGCAGTGAAGGCTCCTGAGGCTGGGTGCATCTGGCTGCCTGAGACAACCATTGCTTTTCACCAACAAGGCAAGAGATCAAGTTCAAACAGACAGGTGGGCCCAGCCACAAACTGGGAAGCACATCAGAAAGTTCCATGAGGCAGGAACAATGGAGATCTTAATTAGCCCTTGCTCACCATCTATCCCTCTACCATACTCCAGCTCCACCCCCTCAGAAGGAGGCAGATGCAGACTCCCAGTTCCTGGGGATTAGAAGGCAGAGGGGCCAAAGATGACACCCCTTGAGTTCTTCTCCTCCAAATCTGAGCTCAGGCCCAGAGGACAAACATGTTGGGACAGCAGAAGCTGTGAGGACAGAGGAGCGACACCCCAATGAGGGGAGAACACCCCGGGCCTGCATGCTGCTCACACAGTGTGCAGTTGTCACACTCAAGGGGCCACGCGGGTTTGGACAAGTGGACCCCAGGGATAATAGCCCAGACTCTCCCAAGAACCAGTCCTCACTTGAACAAAACGGGGACATCTGGATCCCAAGTGGCCAGTCAAACCAGCACCAATGGTACCAATGGGCAACACCAACTCTGCCTTGTATAAGCTTTTACTCTCTCAAGCATCCCATAGATCATGAAGGACAATTGTAGACAGAAAAAAGCAAGTGGATAGGGACGCCTGGGTTGCTCAGCGTTGAGCATCTGCCTTCTGCTCAGGGCGTGATCCCAGAGTTTCGGGATCGAGTCCCACATCAGGCTTCCTGCAGGGAGCCTGCTTCTCCCTCTGCCTGTGCCTCTGCCTCTCTCTGTGTCTCTCATGAATGAATACATAAAATCTTAAAAAAAAAAAAAAAAAAAAGAAAGAACGAAAGAAAAGAAATAAGCAAGTGGAAAATCCCAAGGGAGTGGGGCTTTTAATAGGAAGCCTCGACTGACATGAAAGTAATGCACCTTCTGCCTCCCAGCTGACAAAGCACTTTCATGGCCACCTGGGGCGTTAGGGCCTGTGCCCCCCCCCCATTTTACAGAGGTGGAAGCTGAGACTCACAGACAGGGTGGCTCCTCCAGCTAATGAGCAGCCTGGCTAAAGAAGAGAACAGGCTTCCTAACTCTCAGACCTGCACCTGGAGTGCATGTTAACCTGGAGTCTACCTGGAAGCAGAAGTCTTTGCAAGGGGGTGACATGGAGTGGAAATGCGGGTCAGGCCAGACTTACAGCTCTCCGTGAAGCCAACATGCCTTTTTTGGGGGCCATTTGGCCCCTGCTCCCCACAGGTGCTGCTGGCCCCACGAGTATCAGGCTCCCTGGCTCTTCCAGATTCAAGTGGGGCTCCGCTGAGCTTCAGTCCTCACCTCAGCCTGTCTGCTCAATGCAGCTGTACCTCTGCTGGCCAAACTCCTAGGCGGTAACAGAGCATTTTACTCCATGGCTGTCTAGACACACGCGCCACGGGGGGCCTGGGGGAGATGAAATGCAGATGCGGCTAGAAGCGCCAAGCCACACCTCGGCCTTGACCTGCACGTGGGAAGCACCGGTCCGCTCACTCCTGGCTTCACTCCGCAGTGCCGTCAGAAGGCTGATTCCCAAGCCACCCACATCAAAGGTGCCCCCAGGCCCCCGGAGCAGACACTCTGCCCGAGCCTCCTTCTGAAGTGGCCCCAGCCACAGGCCCTGTGGGAGAAGCCAGCCCCTCTCCTGACAGCCACTTCCCACACCTCAGATCTCAGTGGAGCCTGGCACGCAGCACAGACGTGAGGTAAAGCACAGGCCTCTCTCCTCCATGTGGCAGGAAGCAAGGCGGCGAGTGGCTCCCATTCCCATGTCAGACTCTCTAACCACCACGGGGGATGAAAACGTAAGTGGGGTGTGCACACCACAGCAGCGGGGTGGGAGAGCTCATAAATGGCCAAAGCAAAACTCCAAGGCTCCACAGCAGACCGAGAAGGAACCCTCGGGCCCTACCTATCCAGGGAGCAGGGGGCTGGCGTTTGGCCCGAGTCCTTGGAGGACAAGGGATATTCCATGGGGCGTCCATCTAGTTGCCAATACTCAAGGTCACGTTCACGCTCATGAGAGGCTGGGAGGCTATCTACAAGGTGACTCACTAAAGCTAACTCTCATCCTCATGCCGCCACTGCCACCCCCACCGAGAGTGACTTTAAGAAAACACGAGCCCCCCTAACCCCTGGGATTTTGGCTCACTACCATCCCGGTCGATGGAGAAACAGCCCAGCTGAGGATGTCAGAAGTCCTGGGTGTGGACTCCAGATTTCCCAGGCCTGTTTGATTGCTAAATACGAGCCATAGGCAGGATACTAATTGTGTGGTAGATTTAATGCCAAAACTTGGAAGAGGTTGGTGCATAGCATGATTAAAGAAGGCTCTCCCATTCATTTAATTACAACAAACAAACAGCCAGCCAGGTGAAACACCACCGACACGAAAGAGACCTTTCTCAACACGCATTCATAGAGTGTCTCCTTGGAGCTGGGCACAGGGAACACAGAAGATCAATGAATCCATCCGTGCCTCCCAGGCCTACTGTCTGACGGGCTGGAGTCACATGGCAGTAAAAAGAGACAAGATATGAATCTCCATTGCTGTGGTCAGCTCAGCCCAGAATGTTCTGTAAGGGCTAAATGTAGATCGACACTAAAAATAATTTGGGTATATCAATCAGGGTGTTTTCAGCTACAAGCGACAGAGAACCCACTCAAAACAAGAGTGAAAGTCCAGGTGTTCAAGGGCAGGGTGGAGCCAGGGCCAATTGCTCCAAAGACTCATGGACATTTTTCCTTCTGATCAACTTAGCCACCTCCATTCTAGCCATTATGTAAAGACATGACTAGGCCCATGGAAGTAAGAGGATCTTTTCTCCCCTGTGTGTCTCTTCAGAAGAGCAAAGAACTTGGGGCCTAGCACATCCTTCTTCCTGGGTCATCAGCCAATAAATCACAAGGTTACCCTCAACCACTCTTTGGCAAGGGGAACACGGCCCCCCAGGATGGCCTTAGCCTCCTCAGGATTTGCCTGTGTTAGGAATGGGATGGGTCACAGGTGGACGGACCAGGGCTGTCCAAGCAGGGAGGAGGGAGGCTGTGGAGTGGTGGCCATTAGAATCCACCAAGGCTGAGGGGAAAAGGATT